TTTGTTATAATAGCCAAGATCTAACCTGAAATATTGGTGACATGGGTTGTTGGTGATATGGAATACTAATATTCCATATTTACACCACGTTTTTATTTTTTTTAGGATGCCACGAAAAACTGAACGTCCGTCTTGCAATAATAAAAGAAAGCAATACAAGGAAGAGGACATGGCTAGGGCCATCCAGGCAGTGAGAGAAAAAACAATAGGATATCTCAAGGCATCCAAAACCTATATGGTTCCTCGTATAACGCTCTTTCATCTGAGTCAAATTAACACAGTTCCACCAGATAAGGCTGCAGCAACCAAGCTGGGAAGAAAATATGTTTTGGGACCAGAGCTAGAGTCGCTACTAGTTGATTACATTTTAAAAACGGAGTCCAAATTTTACGGCCTCACAATGACAGATCTGAAGCGCATGGCTTATCTGTTGGCCATAAGGAATAAAATTAAACACCCATTTTCTACATCTGGATTAGCAGGCAGAGCCTGGATTGATTTGTTTTTAAAGCGACATTCAAAATTGTCAATAAGGAAGCCAACGGGGACATCATTTGCCAGAGCTGCAGGTTTTTGTAAAGAAAGAGTTGCCGACTTTTTTGACCTCCTTGAAAAGCAAATGCCCTATTCCCCGAAGAACGTTTATAATGTAGACGAATCAGGCTGAACAATTATTGTCCAAAGTAAAGTATCGTTCAATAATAAGGCTGAAAGGCAAACGTCAAGTTGCTTCATTAACATCAGCAGAGAGAGGGGCTCTGATTGCAGTTATTTTTTATATGAGAGCGGCTGGAAACTTTGTCCCTCCCTTGGTTATTTTTCCTAGAAAAAATATGAACACTCAGCTCATGGAGGGCGCTCCTCCTGGGTCCGTAGGAATTGCACATCCATACGGTTGGGACCAGTCCCATATTTTCACCCAGTGGTCCCGTAATTTTATCTAGTACACTAAACCAACTGAAGAAACCCCTCTCCTGTTAATTCTTGACGGCCATTACAGCCACACTCGCAATATCGACGTTATCGACCTTGCAAGGGAAAACCATGTTAACATTTTATGTCTGCCTCCTCACTCGACGCACAAGCTCCAGCCTTTGAATAAGCCATTTATGGGGCCATTAAAAGTTTATTATAGTGAAGAAATTCGTATTTGGATCCGTCAAAACCAACGGGCTCTTAGTCCTTTTGATATAATGGAGTTATTTGGTAGAACTTACGAAAAAGTTCAGACATACACAATAGCGGCTAATGGTTTTCGCACCACTGGTATTTACCCTTTTAACAGGAATGTTTTTTCTGAAGCTGACTTCATTGCTGCGGAACAAGAAGCAGCGAAAAGAGGATTTACCATTAACATTCAAGAAGACAAATCAACAAAAGCTTCTACTACCCCTATCGATAAACCTTCATGCTCCAAAACGTCATGCGAAGACAATGCACCTGGCCGAATTCAAGCTGTTGACCAAGATCAAGATGACCAAGACCAAGATGAAGATGACCAAGGCCAAGATGAAAATGTAGATTCAACCCAGAAGTTTATTTCACCGTTCGAAATATCTCCAGTCCCAAACACAATCCGCAAAAAAACCAACAGAGGACGCAAGACAATTGGATCTATTGTAATTACCTCGTCACCTTACAAAGACGAACTAAATGAATCAATAAAATAAATTGACGATTCTGACAAGGATTTGGAAGATATGCCGGGACAACTGAAACCGAATGAGGACGATGCTCATTGCATGTTGTGCGATAGTTTAATGTGCTTAAAATGGGCTCATAATGAGTGTGGAGGCGCCAAAAAAGACGAATATATTTGTGACTGGTGCAAATAATATGTAGAAATATAAAGTATTCCATATTTCCCCCACCTTTTCTAAGGTGGGAATTTTATAGTTTTTTTTCTAACTTGTTTTTTGAAAAAGTGTTTAAGATAATTACACATTTGCTTTTACATTTTGGTGTCTAATTGTCTAAAGTACATTTTCCCTAAATTTGGCTTAAATCTATTCACTAACAAAAAATGTTTTATATAGGTACCAAACAAAACGGTATTCCATATTTACACCTTTTCCTCTAATGTTTGTAAAAACACACAAATACTGATAACATTTCTATTTCAATTACTTTCGTATCACACTTTACTGATGATAAAAAAAATTGGAAATCAGGTTTCTTTTTAATAAAAATAAAACATTAATTCTTTTAATTTTTTTTTCTCGAAACCAGTTCAGTTTATCGACAATGAAGAAGAGTAACTTTTCTTTAGCTTAATGTTCAAGGTATCGAAATTTATTTTCTTTAACTCCTTATCATACAGGGTGTTAAACATTTAAGCATTAAAATGTAGAGCCTAGTTTGCCTCTGGTAAAGTAAACAAGCTAATTATGTTTTGAGGGCAGTATTTTAAGAGGTTCTTACTACTGTTTATCATATTTAATTTTCATTAAATTATATTACGTAGTTTGAAAGTTATTCAAGAAATTTTGATTTCCAGTGGCGTCCTTTTGGAGGCCGTATCTCCGTAGGGAGGGCCGCTAGGAAAAAATTATGGGAACTTGTCATCTTATTTTTTAATGTTCTATCTGAAACCGAGAGACCTCCCACATTTTCCCGGACACCCTGTATAGATTATAGGTATTTTAAACAGAAACTGGTACACCGTCATGTTTTCTAATTATTGTACAAATACATAATTATCTGATCTAAGCTGCTTAAATTCAGATTAATTTATTTAAATAAAAATAATTTCAAATAATAATAATAATAATAATAATAATAATAATAATAATAATAATAATAATAATAATAATAATAATAATAATAATAATAATAATAATAATAATAATAATAATAATAATAATAATAATAATAATAATAATAATAATAATAATAATAATAATAATAATAATAATAATAATAATAATAATAATAATAATAATAATAATAATAATAATAATAATAATAATAATAATAATAATAATAATAATAATAATAATAATAATAATAATAATAATAATAATAATAATAATAATAATAATAATAATAATAATAATAATAATAATAATAATAAATCGTTTATTGTTTACCATAAAAAAATATATAATCATTCGTTTACTTATATCTAGAAAACCACTAGTAAACAAAAGGAGTGATGATAGGTCTAGAGACCAATTCTTCCTCATCATCCTAAAATAAAAAGTAATACAAATAATAATAATACAACAATTAAATAATTATATGTATGAAGTTACAGACCTTAACTAACATTTTTCATTTCCAAACCTAATACAAAAAAAACTTAACCACGAAAGAATAATACAATTAAAATATTTTAATTATGATGTAAAAATCATTTATTTTTTTCTCTAGTGTCACGCCCAAATTTTGTGATTTTTAAATCCAGAAGAGGCCTTCCAAATTCTTTGATTTAATATTTGTCACGGAACGAGTACGTAAAAAAAGGTTTCATTAACACATTGCTTATTTTATTTACCTCGGATGATTTGTAAACAATGTTTGTATTTATTATTACACAAAACGCTTATATAACATTCAACAACAACCGCTGACATGCGAATTAAATAATCAAAAAACTAATCCGAGCTACTCCAACATATGGCCCTGTTAATACGTATAAAACACGTACTTTCAGCATGTGAGACGTAAGAGTTTTCAATATATTGCTATGCTAGCTGGCCGGGCCGCATTTAGGCAAAACGTACTACGTATTAACCATAGCTCAAAAATATTCCTTTTTGATTGGTCCGCGACTAACGCGGTACGTTTTGTCTAGATAGGGTCGAAAGCAGGTACGGATTGCACTCACATAAGGCCTTCAATTTTGGTCCTGCGTTGTTGGGCTTAAAGAGTTATGCCCGAACCCGAATCTTATTATTTTAATTAGAAAAAAAAAAAAAACAATAAAAAGTAAGGTAGTTTATTGAGAATGATAACTGTTAAAAACTTATACAAAATTGAAAAAGAAACAAAAGAAATAATTATAAGGTATCTTAATGCCCAGAACCATGCCCTTTGGCATGACGTACATTGTTGAGCACGTTACTTGTTTTCTTTTTTTTTTCTTTTAATGACTTCATTAGAAACTGGGCGATCAGTTGGCATTCGTTTGGTGCCTCTTGTGACTCCATGATTTCATGTGGCAATTGTAGTGGGTTGCACACAAATGGCTGATCCATGGCGTTTCCTAACAGGAATATGATACCCACAACTGCTGATAAAAGTATCCCAGTTGTTCTGAGTTCTAACATTTTTTTAGTTTCAATAAACATTTGTCGATAACTCCTTCAGAGGAACCAAATTGTTCGCGTTAGAATAATGTTACAAAAACCAACAATTCATGTATATTAAAAAAAGTTTTAATAGTTAGATTATTAGTAAACAATACATATTGTGACAATAGTTGGGGCCAACTGAATTTCTTGTTGAAATATAATTATTATATCTTAATATAGAACACGAAAAATGTTTAACCAGCATTCAGTCTGCTCTACTGACTAGAATAACAGCACAGTTTATCTTCGAAGTACTGATATGCCTATTAAATAATTTTCAACTATTTTACTTTATCATTCTTTTAGTATACCCATTTTGTAGGCTATTATGTTATTGTTTTAGCCTTGATTATATTAGTATCCTACTCTTCACACAGTAGTCTGTAAATAGTATTATAGGTTTACTTTGTCCGATGTCACGGTTTTTGTTTGCAGTCAAAAACAAAAAATGATAACTTCAAAAAAAAAATGAAAGATTTTTACAAATTTTTTTAATCGATGTCTTAGGCGACAAGTTCCGGTCGACAATATTATCATCAGGTCTAGAAAAAAGGAATGCAAAACACATTACAAGACAAGAATAAGAATAAAAACAGAATTTTTGACAATTCTGTAAAAAAACTCAGTATAGCTCTGTTTTTCATTTGTCTGTTATGTCATTGATTCTTTTAATGAATAATAATGATGAAAATAAAACAAATTATTTATTATATTATATTTATTATACATAGAGTTACAAAAAATCATTTTCATACAAGTGTTTAATAAGTTCTAATGTTACTTTCTTGTACAAATTTCTATCAAATTTTATCCCAAAATCACTTTTTATTTTTTCTTTATTGATTCCATCCATCATATCACTTACAGTAGGCATTTCTGAAATATCAGTGGATGTTTTGAACGCCCAAATTAATAAAGAACACAAAAAACCAAAACGGAAACATTCTTTCCATTCCTTCTTGAGCATTTTGTAAGGGTAGATATTCTCTGGATTGCAGCCATATTTTATCAGAGTTTCACTAAGAGTATTGTGATACAGTTTTAATAGATTTTCTAAATTATCTAAAGTTTCTTTACCAGCTCCAGAATATAAGCTGTAACTTAAGTCAAGAACGGGAGATCCTAGGTAGCTCATTTGGAAGTCTATCATTTTGATGTGTTGGATTTCTCCTGCTGACTAAAAATAACGACAATATAACAATTCATAGTTAATTTATACGGCAAGGGATTAAAGTGATACTTTGTATCGTCGAGGGATAAAAGAATACTTTAGTCCCGTGGTTTATACGCTATTGTATGCACTTTAAAAAAGAGAAAACTAAAAAAAAATAAAAAAATATGAAAATGATGAAAAACCACTTGACCTATTTATTTTACTTTTAGACCGTCAGATAGCGACCAATTTAGGTGTCCCATTTTCACATACAAGCCTCGAAGATAGTTGAAAAGTACATCGATCTTGAGTTTAATAAAAAAAAATTTACGAGTGGCTCTTGGAGATAACACATGGAAAAATCGATTTTCCTTATCAGAAAAATTTTCCGACCCCAAAATGCACTTATACATTCAGATTATTTAAGAAAATATATTTTTCGGACTAATGACGATGTACGTTTTCATACATTCGATGAGCTTGTGTGGAAAAATGTGGTAAAATCTCGATTTTTTCTTAGAAGATTACGCCCTCATTTCAACTCTGTTGCCACTTGCAACATTAAAGCCTTTGATTTTCCGAAGCCTAGTTCTATTAATTAATCATATAGTGAAAACGGCTTGCGTGGAAATATGGGCAACAAATAACCTTTCATTTTTGTTGGGGAAAATCGAATTTTCCATGTGTTATCCCCAGGAGCCACTCGTAAATTTACTTTCATTCTACTTAAAATCGATGTGCTTTTTAACCCTCTTCGAGGCTTGCATGCGAAATGAGGCACCTAAACCCGTCACTATTTGTCGGTACTGTATTTTCGGTTGTATGGTATTATTATATTATAAGTAATTTTTAATCCCCAGGGAGTTAAAGTACAGTTAAGTATATTGTACTTTTAATCCCTTTGAATTAACAATAATTTTTTAATCCGTAGGTTAAAATAGGGACTAAAAGTAACGGTTAGTCCCTAAAGTGCATAAAATATGTTATTATTTATTAAACCAAAAGTAATAAAAACATTTTTTATAATAAAAATACCACAGATATTAACATGTTTGTGATTTCCCAAGTAACACAAAACTCTAATGCTAGTAAATAATGCTGGCATATTTTGAGCATTTAAGGAAAGCTTTATTTTAGCATTCAGTTAAATTGCTTTGACTGCTAAATACAATAGCCAATTAGCAATGATTGCCAACAGGTCACAAATAGATGCCAAATAATAGAAATAATCGCTTTTATAAATGTCAAATAAATGCGAGGCAAATTGCTATTTTAATCAGATTTATTGCCTATATAAATGCTTCATTTAATGTTTTTAAAAACAACGCTTTGAAGTCTTATATTGGTACTAATCTGGATTTTAAATGGAAATGAACTGAAAAAAATGCACTGAGTATTGTTGACTTACGAATATTAAGGACACTTATCAGACATCTATCAGAACTTGACTGGAAATTCCAAGAAAAATTACTGTCGAGCCAACGAACAAGGGTCAATGTTGTCATAATAACATAACCTCACAAACTTTTATCAAAAAGCAATCAAGCGGCACTTTGGTCAGCTGAATAGCATTCAATGTCAGTAAGCTTTATTTATGACTCTCGAAACGGCGTCGAAAGTACTCGGGTAGCTACAGATGGAGATGAAAACTTTCAGGGGTCAAAGGTCACTTAGACACAGGTAATAGTAGGCCACAAGTAACGGGCTTTAATCATTGCTTGGGCTGGTACAGAATTTATCACTAGCTGAAATACAAGGGGGAAATAAAGTATGGAATTAGTAACCAGTAATACGGCAAGTTAACATTGACCCATATATTGTTTTGAACTATTTACAACATAAAAAAAAGAAATTATAGATTTCAATGCCCACCCCAGTTGTGGTGATAGTCAATATAACCCTGAACAAAAAAATAAAGAAATAAAACGGACGGTATTGAATCCCGACTAGTCTAAATCAGACGTCAAAATTGAATTAAAATAAAATGAATGTTTCGGTCGCAGAAAAAAAAAATAACTTGGCTATTTACTCGGTAAATAAACTAAAACATAATTTCCCATTTCGATAAGGAAAAATCCTAAGAGCAGTCGTAGCAAAACTTAACTGTTTAACTGTTGTATCGGGAATTAAACTAAAAGGTAGGTATTTCACTATTTCAGTAAAGAAGAATTATCTAAACGGTCATAGAGAGTGCGAGGAGACAGTAACGCGAAAGAACTACTTATAGTAAATATACAGCAAGGGAAAAAAATAAATTTATACCCAGGGTAGCCTATTATCCCAGAATGAGCTAATCGTCATCACGAGCCCGCTCAGACAGGGTGATGAAGCTATTTAAGATTTCTGCAAGTTGCAATTTGCACGAAAAAAATAAAGAAAACAAACGAAATAAGAAAACTAACGCGGATAGCACCTAATCCACGAATGAACTGATCGTCATCACGAGCCCGTTCAGACAGGGACGGGATACTATTTAAAGTTATTTAAATTGTCGGTGAAAGAGAAAAACAAAACTATTATCGGAGGGAAGAAAATTACTAACGCGGATAGTACCTACTCCAAGAATGAACTGATCGTCATCACGAGCCCGTTCAGACAGGGACAGGATACTATTTAAGATTATTTAAATTTGCGGTTTAAACATTAACTAAAAAAAAATAAAGCGGATAGCACCTATTCCAAGAATGAACTGATCGTCATCACGAGCCCGTTCACAAAGGACAGGATGCTATTTAAGATTATTTAAATATACGGTAAAAGGATAAACAAACTATTAAAAGAGGGAAAACGTCTCCTCGAAAACTCCGTTTATAAATATTCCCAACTTAGTTACAACGCGGCACTTACTAAACAAAAGTATTTATTAATAAAATCAAATTTAATTCCCGATTTAACCTAACAAAAAGAAAAAAAAAATAATTTCTTAGTACAGACCAACGATCAAAAGTCTAAATCCCCAGTATTACAATATTAAAGAACTAAATCCAATCATTTTATTATTTAAATCAAATTCTATTCCCTTTAAAGCGGTATTATTTTTGCCAAGAAATAAATTCTAATATTTATTAATGAAATCAAATTAAATCTTTAAACTCAACACTATCTATAAAAAATGAAATCAAATTAAATGTTTTAACTCAACACTGAATTAAAATGTTCCTATTTCTACAAGCAAATTCATTTTTTAAAATGAAATACGGTCTCAATATAAAACGTAAAAAGCGAAACAAGGTTTTTTTACCTAACGGATTTATAAACATGAGAAAGAAAAGAAATTATCGGCGGTGAATTGTTTTGAGAAGGCGGCTAATATTCTAAACTACTGGAAATCAAGTATCATTCGGAACTAAAAATTTTAATTGCATCTCGGGCCTGGGGCCTGGTTCAACTGCTGATTCCCTTACCCTATCAGAGACCCCACCAACGCCAGTCCCACCGTGCTTCGATACTCGATCGGCGTTGGCGCATCTGTAAATTAACTCAGGACCAACAGTTCAATCGCGTTTAATATTTATTAAAAATGAAAATAAACTGATTAAGGAAAAATTGATTTTATTACAAGTGTTACCAAAACTATTTAATTTATAATTATTTGAGTTCTAACAAAAAAATAGACATTCCTAATTAATTGTTGGACACTAACGGGATCTCAATAGTGAGTATATAGACAATTCACACTATATTTTTTCTACGACCCACTAACGAAAATCTGCAAATTTTAATAATTATTTGAGGTTTTTAAGATAAAATAAATAATTCAAAATTAATTTACGACTTTTACTAATTTATAAATAAAATAAACATAAAAAAGTAGATTTAATGTAATGACAGTGAAATGCGCTTGTCTCAGTTTCATCGAAACATTTCAGTTTTAGTACTCGTAATTATCGATTTCATAAAGTTTTAAAATTTATGATTTATTTGTAATTATAGATGGAATAAAAATAGAAATGCTATTATTTATCAATCCTTCACAAGAATAACTCATTTTAAATATTTAATCTAAATAGCTAAAAAATATACTGACAATTAGTTTGATAGAACTGTCACCTATTTAATTTTTTTTAAATAATAGTAGACGAGTGAATAAAATATGAACTGTGATTGGTAAATTTCATATCGGTGCAGTGTTCTTACTATCCAGAATGGATACATATATTCATTCAGTTGAACGCAATGGCATACTTTTTCGTTTTGCAGTCTGTGAGTAAATAAACTGATAACCACATGGCTGCTCAAAAAAATAGTAAATACGAAAAGTATCTAATCCTGAGGTTAACGTTACCATGGAATGCGCATGCGAGTCTAGAGAAGTTCTCAATTTTTTGCATTTTTTTAATTGTGTGTGTTACTTATCATTAATTAGTTATACCTAATTTATTTACTCTACATAATATTTAGTATTCTCATACCTAAATGAATATCGTAACTCCACGTTTTGACACGTCTCATTAATACTAAAATTCTCCTTAACATGTTTTATGAGGTGAAAATAATAAAATTTGTATAAAGACGTTAAATTAATTGTGAATTTTAGATAGAAGTACAAAAGTAGACAAATATTAAGAATCGTATTTACGCACAGATTACAAAACTAAAAAGTATGCTATTACCTTCAACTGAACGAATATATTTCATATTCATTCTAGGTAGTGAGAACACTGCAAAAAAATCCACCAATCACCGTTCATATTTTAATCAACCGACTGCTATTATTTTAAAAATTTTATATAAGTGACAATTTTGTCAAACTAATTGTCAGTATATTTTTTAGTTATTCAGATTAAACATTAGGGTGGAGCGAAAAAACCTATTTTCGAATTTGCCATTCCCTGGGTGCGGAATAGTTGCCTTTATAAACCCTTTTTAATTATCCACAAAAAAAATCAGTTTAACAAAATAATATCTTCAGGTTCCTCTTTGATTTTGAAATTCATTCATTCAGTCAGTCAGTCAGTCAGTCAGTCAGTCAGTCAGTCAGTCAGTCAGTCAGTCAGTCAGTCAGTCAGTCAGTCAGTCAGTCAGTCAGTCAGTCAGTCAGTCAGTCAGTCAGTCAGTCAGTCAGTCAGTCAGTCAGTCAGTCAGTCAGTCAGTCAGTCAGTCAGTCAGTCAGTCAGTCAGTCAGTCAGTCAGTCAGTCAGTCAGTCAGTCAGTCAGTCAGTCAGTCAGTCAGTCAGTCAGTCAGTCAGTCAGTCAGTCAGTCAGTCAGTCAGTCAGTCAGTCAGTCAGTCAGTCAGTCAGTCAGTCAGTCAGTCAGTCAGTCAGTCAGTCAGTCAGTCAGTCAGTCAGTCAGTCAGTCAGTCAGTCAGTCAGTCAGTCAGTCAGTCAGTCAGTCAGTCAGTCAGTCAGTCAGTCAGTCAGTCAGTCAGTCAGTCAGTCAGTCAGTCAGTCAGTCAGTCAGTCAGTCAGTCAGTCAGTCAGTCAGTCAGTCAGTCAGTCAGTCAGTCAGTCAGTCAGTCAGTCAGTCAGTCAGTCAGTCAGTCAGTCAGTCAGTCAGTCAGTCAGTCAGTCAGTCAGTCAGTCAGTCAGTCAGTCAGTCAGTCAGTCAGTCAGTCAGTCAGTCAGTCAGTCAGTCAGTCAGTCAGTCAGTCAGTCAGTCAGTCAGTCAGTCAGTCAGTCAGTCAGTCAGTCAGTCAGTCAGTCAGTCAGTCAGTCAGTCAGTCAGTCAGTCAGTCAGTCAGTCAGTCAGTCAGTCAGTCAGTCAGTCAGTCAGTCAGTCAGTCAGTCAGTCAGTCAGTCAGTCAGTCAGTCAGTCAGTCAGTCAGTCAGTCAGTCAGTCAGTCAGTCAGTCAGTCAGTCAGTCAGTCAGTCAGTCAGTCAGTCAGTCAGTCAGTCAGTCAGTCAGTCAGTCAGTCAGTCAGTCAGTCAGTCAGTCAGTCAGTCAGTCAGTCAGTCAGTCAGTCAGTCAGTCAGTCAGTCAGTCAGTCAGTCAGTCAGTCAGTCAGTCAGTCAGTCAGTCAGTCAGTCAGTCAGTCAGTCAGTCAGTCAGTCAGTCAGTCAGTCAGTCAGTCAGTCAGTCAGTCAGTCAGTCAGTCAGTCAGTCAGTCAGTCAGTCAGTCAGTCAGTCAGTCAGTCAGTCAGTCAGTCAGTCAGTCAGTCAGTCAGTCAGTCAGTCAGTCAGTCAGTCAGTCAGTCAGTCAGTCAGTCAGTCAGTCAGTCAGTCAGTCAGTCAGTCAGTCAGTCAGTCAGTCAGTCAGTCAGTCAGTCAGTCAGTCAGTCAGTCAGTCAGTCAGTCAGTCAGTCAGTCAGTCAGTCAGTCAGTCAGTCAGTCAGTCAGTCAGTCAGTCAGTCAGTCAGTCAGTCAGTCAGTCAGTCAGTCAGTCAGTCAGTCAGTCAGTCAGTCAGTCAGTCAGTCAGTCAGTCAGTCAGTCAGTCAGTCAGTCAGTCAGTCAGTCAGTCAGTCAGTCAGTCAGTCAGTCAGTCAGTCAGTCAGTCAGTCAGTCAGTCAGTCAGTCAGTCAGTCAGTCAGTCAGTCAGTCAGTCAGTCAGTCAGTCAGTCAGTCAGTCAGTCAGTCAGTCAGTCAGTCAGTCAGTCAGTCAGTCAGTCAGTCAGTCAGTCAGTCAGTCAGTCAGTCAGTCAGTCAGTCAGTCAGTCAGTCAGTCAGTCAGTCAGTCAGTCAGTCAGTCAGTCAGTCAGTCAGTCAGTCAGTCAGTCAGTCAGTCAGTCAGTCAGTCAGTCAGTCAGTCAGTCAGTCAGTCAGTCAGTCAGTCAGTCAGTCAGTCAGTCAGTCAGTCAGTCAGTCAGTCAGTCAGTCAGTCAGTCAGTCAGTCAGTCAGTCAGTCAGTCAGTCAGTCAGTCAGTCAGTCAGTCAGTCAGTCAGTCAGTCAGTCAGTCAGTCAGTCAGTCAGTCAGTCAGTCAGTCAGTCAGTCAGTCAGTCAGTCAGTCAGTCAGTCAGTCAGTCAGTCAGTCAGTCAGTCAGTCAGTCAGTCAGTCAGTCAGTCAGTCAGTCAGTCAGTCAGTCAGTCAGTCAGTCAGTCAGTCAGTCAGTCAGTCAGTCAGTCAGTCAGTCAGTCAGTCAGTCAGTCAGTCAGTCAGTCAGTCAGTCAGTCAGTCAGTCAGTCAGTCAGTCAGTCAGTCAGTCAGTCAGTCAGTCAGTCAGTCAGTCAGTCAGTCAGTCAGTCAGTCAGTCAGTCAGTCAGTCAGTCAGTCAGTCAGTCAGTCAGTCAGTCAGTCAGTCAGTCAGTCAGTCAGTCAGTCAGTCAGTCAGTCAGTCAGTCAGTCAGTCAGTCAGTCAGTCAGTCAGTCAGTCAGTCAGTCAGTCAGTCAGTCAGTCAGTCAGTCAGTCAGTCAGTCAGTCAGTCAGTCAGTCAGTCAGTCAGTCAGTCAGTCAGTCAGTCAGTCAGTCAGTCAGTCAGTCAGTCAGTCAGTCAGTCAGTCAGTCAGTCAGTCAGTCAGTCAGTCAGTCAGTCAGTCAGTCAGTCAGTCAGTCAGTCAGTCAGTCAGTCAGTCAGTCAGTCAGTCAGTCAGTCAGTCAGTCAGTCAGTCAGTCAGTCAGTCAGTCAGTCAGTCAGTCAGTCAGTCAGTCAGTCAGTCAGTCAGTCAGTCAGTCAGTCAGTCAGTCAGTCAGTCAGTCAGTCAGTCAGTCAGTCAGTCAGTCAGTCAGTCAGTCCAGTCAGTCAGTCAGGACAAACAATACTAAATAGGAAAATTATTCTTAGATTTTAGCAGTACAACAGGTGACAAGCGTTTCCTAATTTTTGATTGGTTAGAAGCATTTAAGAAGTCAGTTATTGATTAAAATGTGTATTATCTATATTGTTTGTCATTTTATAGGTAAACATATTACATTTCCTCTTGGAATCGATAAATATTTTTTTTAAATAATGCTTTTGTAAAAATGAAGACAGACAATTCTTTAAACATCTAATGTAATATCTATTTGGACGAGTATACGAAATATAATTACAAGAAAAAACGACTTAACTGTAAGAAAGTTCGTTCTAAAAAATATGAGTTTTATTTTTTTGTTCGTTTTTTATACCTATTTTCTTTTTATGCAAAATAATGTAATGATATGAATACGAAGGGTCGAGAGAGGTAACGTAGCGGCTGATAAGAGAGTGTTTTTTGTTTAATTTTTGGTGATTCACTCTTTAAAATTGTGATCGATAAAGTGTAATAATGGTACTACATGTGCAATATATTTTTGGACGAATATACTCATATAATTTAGAACGAACTTCCTTACAGGTAAGTCGTTTGTTGTTTTAATTCTTAAACAATTTCAATATTAATTTTAGATTTATTACAGACAAAATTGTAATAAAAAACTGCATAAAAATAAGTCGCTCATATGGTTTTCTCAAAATAATTAAGTAGTTACTTTCTACTTTACTTATAGATGAAAAAACTGGCCCTAAGTCTATTAGTTTATATCATAGCGAATGCGAAGATTTTTAATATAAAAAACCCACAATTATTGTATTAATATAAAGTATACCTACTAACGAATTTTATTATTTACTTTCTTACATCAAAGTTTAGCATCAAGTTGTTGCTCCAACAGTCTCCATGTAAAAGTAGACCATTAGAAACACTGCACGATACAGATTCGTTAAAAATGTTGACAAAGTTTGTTCTATATTTTTCCAGTTTTTCAATAATTTTATCTTCACCGTCTTCTTCCAAATATTCTCTAATTTTTCCCAGAAAATATGTAATGATATTGTTGGCGTAATCACTTTCATTAAATTTTAACCAATTGTTAGTTAAATTCTTGGTTAGTCTCGAAAACTCTTCAGGTTGGTGGTGCTTAAGAGCAAAGGAAAGAGCGTGAAATTCTCCGTACATTTTAAAAATTTGTTCATATAAATTTTGATTTATCATTTTTGATTTCGGATGAAGTTCGTATCCCTGAGTTTTTAAATTTTGGAGGGCAAATTTTTCGAATCCTTTTTCTAAACATGTAGCATAACATTTTGGATAATTATCAAAAGTTCTAACTTCAGGATATAATTTTTGAAATTTAAGAAAAGCTGGAAATACTTTTGTATAGCAATTGATTTCAGAACGAAAAGAAAACGTCATGAAATCCTTACTATACCCAGTTTCGTTATTAGAACGAGCCATTTTGATAATTAAATTGTAATCTTCACCGGTTTTTTTGTTTTTTAAAGAAACAAAAGTCATCTCACTTAGAAAACCTTCACCTTTTTCATTGCCACCATGAAATTCCACTTCAAAATTTTCAAGTTTACTGTTTACAGCACTTTCCAATAGATCGACCACACCTTGTTCACATACTGGATTCATTTTGTGTTCTAATTGATACCAAAATTTGTTGATATTTTTTACTTATTTAAAATTGTGAGTAGTTGTATGTGTGTAGAGTAGTTACTGAAGAGAAATAAATTTAAATTATATATTTATAATTAAACGTTTTGTAATTTATTATGTATTTTATTATATGATTTATCTTTTAAATTTATCTTCCAAACAAAAGATATCATTGAATTATTAAACCTTTTAATACCATGAACTTGCAAATTCTGAAAATAAAATGTGCAATTAATCCAATCTTGTTTTTTTTTTGAAAAGGAAACTTTTGAAAACAAGTCAGAAACAATATACGAAATTGAGCTCAGTTTATTATTAAACAAATTAGTTTTGGTCAAATATATCTTAAAATATATATTTTTTTAACTCTTAGAAAGTACGAAAAATATTACACAAATATACAGGGTGTAACAAAAAAATTAAATCGTCAAAAACTAGTACAACTACGCATTTCCTCACTACAGGATTTTGAGTTTTTCTTTAGTTGTTAACATTACAAGCGTTTCCATAGCAACTGTTTCTCATAGCTAATTTTAGCTAAACTAAAGTGAAATTAAAAATTATCTATATCTTGACAAATACACATTTCCTCACCAAGGGATTTAGATTTTTGTTTAGAGCACAGTTGCAATATACATTTTATTTAGTTTTTAAGTTAATACCTAGTAGGACATCCTAAAATGACTTTTTTTGTTTGATGTGAGATTCATTATTCTACATTTTTGTTGGTGAAATAGGATATTTTAAGATGTCCTACTGTTTTCTCTAATTATCTAAAAAGTTTAGAACAATACAAAGACTGTTTTAACAAAACAGAGATATACCTTTAATTAGACACAATTAGTCAATTCAATTATACGACAATTTAAACCAGAAATCCAAAAAACTTCTAAAAATGTGTTTAAATGTGTTTTTACTATAACAAGGGCATAATTATTTAAAAAAAATCGGCACATTAACATTGACGATAGATTTTTATAATATATATTATACAAATCACAACGAACTACACAAAATGACATAATTTAGCAATTAAAATGTTAAGGACAATGATGACATTAAAAGTCTCAGTACCTATCTTACTATTTTTCTAGCACAATAATATTATATGAATGTACATTGTGTGATACCTTATATTATAGGAATAAAATAATATATTTTTTTCAGGTTTCTGTTAACAACGATTCCAAGAACTTTTGAAAATATTATTAAAACGACCTTCGCAAATATAATTAATTTTCTATTAACTGCTTTTGATCTAACATTAAATTTTTATTCTCCAAAAGGTTACAGCTACCTAAGAAGAAAGTTTAACAAGAATCTTACCAGACCCAAAATATCAAAATGTTACCAACCAATTGATGGTTCTACTGGTTTCCATAGTAAAATAAAAGTGATAGAGGTAACCGAAGAAGGCAAAAAAGTCTTTTGCCAAACAAAAACAAAAAATTTGTTAAAGAATATAATTATTGTTTGGAGTTGTACCACTAATAATTTTTTATAAAATTTTAAGATTATGAAGTTTTATTATGTATTTTACTTTTTGTTAACCTATGTTTAAATTTTTATTAGGACCAAAATAAATTATAATTTTCATTTCAACTACAAAAACCCTCATAATATTAAAAAGTGGGAAAACGTCAGATTAGGTATGTTTGGGAATTAACTCTTTAAACATTTATCTACTTAAAATGTGTTACTTTCAGAAGGTATGTTATTAACTTTCTATTTGTACTTGTATTAATTTATTTCATTTTATTTTTTGTTGTATTTTTAAATTGATTTTGATATTTATCTTATCTATTTCTATTGTTTTTATATTCACATATATGTTTTTTTCATTTAAACAAACGTTTGTTAGCTTAATAAATATAATGAATTCATGTTGTTTTATTATATGCCTGCATGAATGATTACTTTTATTTCCTTTTAAAAATGAATTTCCAAGATAAAGCCAAAACGGTGAGTGAGAATAAAAAATTATATGAAAGTAACGATATTTACTAGAGCTTTCATCTACACGCTCCTTTTTCTAGCCATCTACACCTGAGCCAACAAGATTCGTCTTCCCTCCATCCTTACATTCTCCAGATTTACAGAGAAAACGGCGTTCTCTTTTACATACCCGGACCTTCTTTGACGGGGACTATACCACTACTTTATTTACATTATCAGCCTTAACAAATCCCGAGTAATTTAAATGCATTCTAAATTGCTCATTTTCGCCTCTTCTCTTGTAAATTCCGTACCCATTTTTCTCATTTTTAGTTACGTTTGCACTGCTCTTTTATTTTCACAGCTTTAATTCTACAATGCTGTAACGCTACAATATGAATTTATTTTTGTAGTTTATACTATTTAATTTTAATCGTAATGTACCAACCTATTGTAATAATTATTATTGTATTACAGGCCTGAAGATGTCCCTGTGAGGCCGAAACTAGACGCTCCTGTATTTATTTATAATAAAATTGATTTTGAGGTTTCATTCTTTAATTGAAAAAATTTGACCTTTGCAGTGATTTTGTTTTGTTTCCTGCCTCAGACACATATAAGACCGTATATACTTTAAAAATATTACAATTATAATTTTTTTTAGTTTGAGAGAGAAATGAACTGAACAAGAAAGATGTTTACCTTCCCCCTTGTGCCCGCTTCCTCAATTCCTCTTTAGATGTTGCAAACACAACAATCGCCTACAAACTCCCTGATTGTTTTTTTACCGATGTTTAGGTATAAAATTAGTAAATCTCAACTAAAAGTTTTTCTTGGTGGTAAAGGCCAAAATATTCACACCATTCTGTATAAAGTTCTCTCTGTATGTTTTATATCAGAGACGATATACCAATGCAGCATCGCAGTCGCGTCGTACGAACGTAGTAAGCCACCGAGTAGACATATCAGCGTTTGACAAAAAAAATACGTATCTCGCAAACCGTTACTAGTAGAGTATTTTTTTTTACCAAAAACTTTTCCATTTAATTTGGCACATTTCTCATCGATTAATCATATATCTATCTTCAACCGTTCAAAAATTTGCTCGATGCTGAAATGTTCACCTCAGTTATGGTACCGCGACTCCTTTTAAATAATCTAATAAATTCTGTATATATACAATATATTTTTCCACATTGCGTTGAAATTTAGAATGATTCAGCTTTCCAGTGTTGCAAAATTTTTGAAAAAATATTGAATAACGGCGTCACAATCGAGAGTTAAACACAAAAAATTTATTTTAACGATAAATCAAAATAATCGAAAAATATTTTTTTATTCATTTTTGCAATTGCTAATTTACTGGAGCCCTTCGGGTTTGCATTCGTAAACTCATTCCCAACACAGTACATATTTTTTAAAAAGTATATCTTCGAGTGCACAGTACATGATCGAATTTCGGGGTGCTGATTCCCGACTACAAGGATTTCGGATGGTTCGAAAACAACTATCGGAATTGAGCGATATTATTTTGTAAGAAGAACCATTATCCAGAATTACTGCAACATTTATATAAAGAAATGATTGTTTTTGTCTGATGATAATTATTTTCTCGACGAAGATAGTGATGACGATCTTGATAATGATCAGTTTTTTTTTTTAATTTTGCGGCGATAAGCTGCGGCGTTTTTTGATAAATAGTATTTTCTTATTTTTAATATCACACTTTTGTTTTGTGCAATTCATTGAAATCCTTCAACATGAGTTCGGCGGTTTTTTAAAAAAAAGGAGAAGGTTCTCAATTCGTCGGAATATTTTTTATTTTTTTTTTATGTATGTTCAACGAAATTGTTTTACCACGTTGTTCGATTTCTATTATTCTTTTTTTTTTGTTAGAAAGGATGTACTTCCGGGGTGGTCCCATATAAATTTGGTCAAAATCTAAATATTGGGCCTATGATAAAATCAACAAACTCTTAAGTTTTTACTCTCGTTTATAAAAGGGAAGTATTGTAATCGTGAAAAAGTCACCTTTCGAGATTATTTTAGATTTCACGTTTCCCTAGATTACGAAAAACATGTTTCCCCATTCCGTTGGTCTGTCTGTCTTTCTGTCTATGGCGCTGACAGTAATCGTATTTAATCAAAAAATGAACCACTTGAATGGAAATAATAAAAAATCCTCCTTTTGGTTTGTGTAACTGGGCCATACTAAAAGTGAAAATTCGGGTGGGATCAAGAGGAAGATCAATAAAGCAATAAATGTGACGAAAAAATGATTTTCGACGAGTAAAACACTATACTTTTTCTACGAACTCTATTATGTCATGTAGGTACCTACTAAAATGAAAAAAAAAAAAAAAACAAACGTTAGCAAATGCTTTATTTTGTGTTAGGAATAACAAAAAATTAACCATCACTTAAATATTTCAGAAATATTATTTATTATTTAAATATTGATTTACTGTTATATTTGAACAATTGTTCAAAATTGTGGGGGTAACACACTCAAGCTTTTTATTTATTGAGATTGATGCCGACATATTTGTTCTACTGTTAAATGTCATTTCAGATGATGATGCGCCATAATCGGATGAACTAGTAGTTTCCTTATTTTGTACAGATTGTAAAATTTTGGTTTGTATTTGGTTTTTACTGTTCGTGGATTCATCAACATATCCTTTCGCAACACTACTAGATTTCCAACCACCGTGCTTTTTTAACAGAAGCAAGTCACCTCCTGCATCCACTAATAGCGTTACGGATGTTCTGCGGAAACAGTGCCCAGTGTAATCTTGAGGATTCGGAAGCGTTAAAAACGACAAGCGCCAGATAATCCAAAAACTAATGCTACCTACAAATATTAGCAGTTATGTATTAAGTATTTGTTAAAATAAAAATAATAATTCCGTTACCTTTGTTATTAAATATTTATAGTCAGGTGCATTCTTTAGTAAAGTCTTTGTCTTCAGGCGAAAAATTTTTGGATTGTTGGCTTTTAAAACCATCAGATTTTCTTTTCAAAAGCGAACGTAACTTTGGATATTTACTAATATCGACATCATTTTTACCAGAGAGTGTAGTTCTTAGCCTCGAATAAATGGACCATAACGTCGACGGTTTAAAATTTGAACATATTTCTCCAAAGTATGCTAGTAGTACAGTTTCCGAAAATGATTTCACTTTATTTTTTTCTCTCCAGTCCAAAAATTTGATATAAATTTCTTCATATCTCTTTTTTGATTTGGCCGGTTATAAATCTGAAGAGGTTTCTTCAGCTTTAAAAATAATTTCTAGGGGAGTACAATCGCTTTCTGACTCAGACATCATGAAAATGTATTAAATTTAGAACGAACTGAAACTGACAGTTCTCAAAAGTGATAAAACTTCAAATAAACAAATGAAAACCAGGAAACTAGATGTAGATTGGTTTAATTTGCACTATTTTTATACATTTTTATTTTATCTTTAATTCATTAAAGTTTAGGTAAAAACGCATATAGAATTTAATGAGCATCTTTTTATTTTATTATTAATAATTATAAGCTGCCAAAATATTATACGAGGCGACTGATATATGAAAATATGTAACAACTTACTTTCGTCACTAGAGACGAAAGTAAACGTTATGGGATTTTTTCTCACTAGTGACGGAAATCAAGTTTTCGCTGAAAGTATCCTGTGGCGAAAGATGTCTTTTTGTAAGAGTTCGTAGAAAAAAGGGTTTTTGGGTTTGTAGTTTTAATTTTAAATTATTAAAATTTAAGTGCTTAGGAGTTCCCTGCTTTTACAATTTCTATATCGAGGAAAGTTCTGGGTAAAATACTTTACCGATTTTATATGTATGTTCAGCAATAATTCTTTACCATCTTGTCCGATTTCTATAATCATTTTTTTGATAGAAAGGGGATATCTAAGGAGTGGTTCCATATAAATTTGGTCAAAATACGGTGATGCTATGAGAAAATCAGCAAACTCAATTAGTAATAGCATCTGCACGATTTTGGAGTCGCTTAAGGTTATATTAAACTATAACTTAACGAACCAATCTTATTATGTGTATGTGTATGTGTGTGTGTGTGTGTGTGTGTGTGTGTGTGTGTGTGTGTGTGTGTTTGTGTGTGTGTTTGTGTGTGTGTGTGTGTGTGTGTGTGTGTGTGTGTGTGTGTGTTTGTGTTTGTGTGTGTGTAGGTCGCATAACTCATGAACCGATACACAGAAAAACACCAAATTTTAAACTTAAGCTTTATTCCAGCGTCTAATGAACTGATTAGATTTTGGACAGAGTCGGAACATCTGGGGGGGGGGTACTTTATAGGTGGTCATTTTTATATTTTATGGAATATATCTGTTATTTACGTTTGGAGAAGAAAATTCTTTAAATAAAAGTTACTTTTAATATAATTATCTATAGTTTTTATTCTATACAAAATTTTTCTAAAATGGTCCGTATTCGAGAAATTTGACAAAATGTAAAAAAAATATTTTTTTATAAAAACTGTTCAAATAAAAGTTGTTTGTAATATAATTCTCTATAATTTTTATTTTATACATAATTTCTTTAAAATAGACCGTATTCGAGATATTTGAGAAAATGTGTAAATTTCGAATTTTGAAGAAAACTCAAAAACGGATAAAAAAAACATTAAATTTTAAACTTAAGGTTTATTTTGGCCTGACGTGAAATGATTAGATTTTGGACAAAGTCGGAACATCTAGGGGGGTACTTTATGGGAGTCCGTTTTTATATTTTATGGAATATATCTGTCATTTATGTTTGGAGAAGAAAATTGTTCAAATAAAAGTTACTTCTTATATTATTATCTATAATTTTTGTTCTATGTCAAAATTTCCTGAAATGGTCCGTATTCGAGAAATTTGACAAAATGTGCAAAATTCTGATTTTTTTATGAAAAGCTGTTTGCGATATCGATTTCTATAATTTTTGTTTATACATGATTTTTCTAAAACGGACCGTAATGAAAAAAATTGTAGGAAATTTATATTTTTCAATATTTTCGTTTTCAATGAATATCTATAGAAAAATGTTTCGAGGTAGATGTATGTGGACAATGTATATATTTAGTTTATCCTCTAAACATTTATAGATATGCTACAATAGGTTGTAGAAAATAACCGGAAAAAGCCTACAATAACTAGATAGGAAAGTCATGTGTTGGACACATCAGATTTTTTTCGTTGAAAACCCCTCTAAATAGTTGAAAAACTACCTTGTTCAACTAAAATTACTCATATCTACCTCTAACTAACAAGATAGACCTAAATTAATGGAATATACATCCGTTAAACACTAAAAAATATCCCTTCAACAAATACCCTTAGTCGATAGACAACGCTCTAACGCAGCATTTAGCTAACAATTCACCTTAAAGATTAAATAAAGAAACCGCTCTACCTTACCTGTAACTAAACATTAAACCCTTCACTTGAAATAAAACTAAACTCTCCGGGGATAAGAAAAGAAAATAAAAAGGTGGGAAGAATTTACTAAACAAATTCTTAGCGGCTTTTCGATACATCGCATCGCCTTTTATACGTTTCTTATCACTTCCTCTGACGTCATACACGCAAAGAACATTCGATTGCCTTCTAATTTAAATATCGGGTGTACTCGAAAAGTTACTTTTAAATATTAAATACAAAAATACGAAATAAGAATTCCAATAACCATAACTATATTTATTATCTTTTCTGTTTGAATAATAAATATAAATATAAATATACGAAAAAATAAAATTCTAACGAGTATAAAATACTCATTACACTACTGAATGTGTTTTTCTTCAGTTATAACTTTGGAACCCTTGATTATTTTTCGTTTCTATTTAAGGAGTTGAAAAATAAACATACTATATTTATATTGTAATATTATTTAATAGATTGTAATTACAAAAAATCATTCTCGTGCAGATGCCTTACAATATTTAAAGCATGTTTTCTAAATTCGAGTTCATCAAATTTTATCCCAAAGTTCTCACTATCTCCTGCCTCATATGTCCCATCAATAAATTCATTTATTGTTGGCATATCTGTGAGATCAGTCGCTAGTTTAGTTACCCACAGCATTATACCCGTAAATAATCCAAAATGACAATGTTCCTTCCAATCTTTCTGAAGTATTTCGTAAGGGTAGATTTTTTCAGGATCACAACCATAGTTTCTTAAAGTTTCACTAAGTGTGCTGTAGTATAGTTTTAAAAGGTATTCTAAATTGTCCAGACTTTCTTTTCCTGCTCCAGAGTAGAAACTGTAAATCAAGTCCAAAGCTGGAGATGCGACAAAACCTAGTTGGAAGTCGATCATTTTAATGTGTTCAATTTCTTTTGATGTCTGAAAATAACAAAATTGTTATGATAACCTCTTGGATGAGTCACCTGCTAGAGTAATTAAAGTCATAGAAAACACTTTTTATCTATCAAACTACAATATCGACATTTTGCAATTATATGAAATTGTATTTTTTCTTATAAAAAACAATTTATGTAAAAATATTTAGGTCCTTGAGCCTGCTCTTCCAAACATACTTGGGCACCTTATCCATTTTGTCTCTTAAGCCTGACCATGTAAAAATATTTGGTCCCTTTGTCCCTAAAGCCTTCCATATCAAAATATTTGGTTCCTTTACCACGTACGCCAATCTAAGTAAAAATATTTGGGCCATTTACCCCTTAAGCCTGTCCATGTAAAAACATTTGCTTACCCATACATTTTTATTTAGACCCTTTAAACCTTTAAGTCGATCTAAGTAAAATATGTGGTCCCTCTTACACTCCACTGTACGCCTTCTAATGCAAACATATTTGGCCCTTTACCCCTTAAGTTCGCCTGTGTAAAAATATTTGGGATCTTTAAAGCTTAAGTCTGCCATTTGAAAATAATATTTGGACTTTTTTTAACATAATATCAAATTCAGATAAGAATTTTATTTTGGAATTTGTTGAAGGTCGTACAAAAAATATTTATTTTATATCTTAAAACTATTATTTTCACTTATCAAAAAATAACTACTCAAATAAAGTATTTTTTTATTTTGAAATATAACGTGACATTTTTTTGTAATCGCAGCAAGTGTAAAAATGATCTTCTTTATGTAGCCAGTTACATAAAGTTGAATATTATGTAACTGGTTATGAAAAAGAACTAAAAATAAACCTGTTTTGGAAATTTTTGTAAATTTTAAATGGTTTTCTTAGAAATTTTTGAGATTGAAAATTGTTAGAAATAGAACTGGAAAGAGAACTGTATTTGATAATGTATTGGAAATATTAGAAAAGGAAAATTAAGATTATAAAACCAGGAAAAACAAAGTATTGTTACTCAGCACCCTGCAGCTTGCTGCAGTCGTCATGAGTAAAGGTACGAGTAAAAGAAGGAGGAATATTCGAGAAATGTCATTCCATGTCAAGAAAGATCCGGATTGTTCGAGAAAGTTCTAGAAGGTTAAGGCGAGCTATCTATATAAGTCAATGATCCTGACGTCAGAAGGGAGTTTTATGATAGACCTTATACGTTAATGTTATCAGTTGTATAGTTATTGTAAAAGTTGAGTTGAAATAAATTGAGATACTAAAAACCTGCGTAAAAGTATTTTCATTATTGATAAAGAACAAAAAATGGTAAGACCTAATTCTAAGAAGAAATGTATCAAACTAAAAATAGACCGAATGAACAAATAGCTGATAGATACTAAGAAGAACAGCGGAATAAAAACGAGAATTAGGAGAACATAAAATTATTTTGATAAATACATCATTTATTTTTATTATTTAAATTTTTTTTATTTTTTAAGCGAGTAGAAATTTGAAATTTGTAAATCTAAGAGGATTAGAAAGGAATATAATGGATTTGGCAAAGTAAGTTTTCCCTATTATTTTTTAAATTATTGATTAACCTATGAATCTGAGATATTAAAGTAAAACTATAATTTGGTTATAGTAGCTAGAGGTGTAAAAATTTAAATTTCTTAAATTATCAAATGTCGCTAACCAACATAAATAATAAAATTCCTCATTTGTCAAGTTTTCTTTTTTTTTAATAATAGACGATTAAGATTGATATTCAATATTGCATATATTTGAAAGAGAATCTTGAAAACTAAAGGCATTAGCGTACAATAAAAGGTGCTAAAAGTGGTATCACGAATTATATGGAATTTGTGTACAAAAAATTTAAATTTCTTATGAATAAAATATATAGCGTGTCAAAAAGTTTATAACGGATTAACGAGAGGAAAACAGAATCAATGGAAAAGATGAACAGGATGAAAAAATTAAGAAACTAGGACAAGGTGATGTGAAAGAAGTGGAAATACAGGATCTACAAGAATTAGTTATCGAAAGAACGGATAGTGTAGAATCTCTAACGAAAGAAGATGAAGAAAATATAAGGGGCATATTCAACTTGATGATGAAGAAAATCAAGAAAAACAATAAAACAATAAATTGATGGAATGGACAAAAAAATGAATCAAAACAATGAAATGATGAAAAGGAGAATAGATGGAATGGATAAAAAAATTAATGAAATTAATGAACTAATAGTTAAAAAATTGATGAAAATAGGAGAAATGATAAAGAAGCGCAAAAATAAGAACTTGAGCAAAAAAATAGAAGAGTTAGGAATATAAATTATAAACATGTATTGGTATAAAAAGTAAAATAAAAACGAAATTTCAAGAAATGAAGAATTCAAGAATGAATATAAAAGAAATTAGAAAACAAATTACAAAAAAAAGATAAATTTTAAATTATTGTTTAAAATAAATGCAAGTGAAAGAAACCTACGAACCCTGAGATATTAAAGCAAAACTACACAATTTGATTATAGTATTTTTCTTTTATTTGTCTGGGCTAGGTAGGGGTGCAGAATTTCAATTTCAATTTATTGTAACAATATGTATGTTAGCGGTGTGCCACTGCTCTACACTAGATATTCTCGAAGTACATATACATGCGTGTCAGGATGGACGAGCAGGAGAAGGAAGACCAGCGCAGTAAGCAGTACGTGAATATAAAGTGGCAGTACCACAAACATATTTTGAGTATACTTGATCGAGAATTAAACCAGATAAAAAGTAGTTTAGACCTTTTATTAGGGGGTGAAGCATCCCTTTTGTTAACATTATTGAAAGCTTATATCGAAGGAAGCAAGTTTGGCCATTTATAAATAGATTTTGATAGTTAACTTGGTCCTTATTTTCCATTCCACGTCCTTCAAAATAAAATAACTTTAACAAGCAACATAAATACCCTAAAACAAGTGAATGAGAATAAATTTTTCTATTGGTTGCCTGGATGTCAGTAATTTTTTACCAAACATAAATTTATAAATAATAATATATTCAAAATTAGAAAAGAATATATTATGTTGCACCTTACTAAATGCGGTTATGTGTAACTCGTTTATAAAATAAGGCATTTTGTAACTGGTTACAAAAATAACTATTAATGGACATTCGTATTGTGAAAATAGTATCCTTGCAGTATATATATATATATATATATATATATATATATATATATATATATATATATATATATATATATATATAAAAGTTCCATAAGAAATGCATCGCATTTTAAAAACACTGATATTCAAGGCACTATTAAACCGAAAATTTTAAAAATCAATTCTGATAGAAGGATCAAAACCACAAAAAGAGAAAATTTTTACATTGGCACGAATGCATTTTTAAACATTTTTAATATTTAATTGGTAAGAATAAAAATGTTTAAATACCATTCCACTGTCAAGAGTTTAAAATAAGTTGTAACTTTTGGACTCATATTATATTCTCAAACTTACATTATATTTAATCATCAAATTGTTGCTCCAGCAATCCCCATGTAAAATAGTACCATATTGACCTCTATATGTAACCTTTTCCCTAAAAATAACCGGACAATTGTCTACATAGTGTTCAAATTTTTCAAGAATTTTATTTTCCTGTTCCTCTTTTAAATATTGTTTCACTTTTTTCATAAAATGGATAATATAATCTTCAAACGTAGGAAGGTCCAGAAGTTTAAACCAGTTATTTTCCAGATTTTTCGTTATATCCAAAAAATCTTTTGGTTGGTGGTCCTTAAGAGCGTAGGAAAGCGCATGAAATTCTGCATACATTTTAAAAATTTTTTCATATGATTTTAGACTGAGAGTTATATTTTTAGGTGGTACTTCGTAGTTTTTAAATTTCAAATTATCCATAACTATTTTCTCATGCCCACTATCCAGGCACGTGGCATAACATTTCCCATAATTGTCGAAAGTTCTAATTTCCGAATACAATTTTTGAAATTTCATCAAATTGGGAAATATTTTAGTATAGTATTGCGTTTCATTGAAAAATGAAGCATAGATAAATTCCCTGGTAGTGCCAGTTTCACTAGAAAGTACACTTTTTATAACCAAATTATGATCTTCTCCAGTTTCTTTGTTTTTTAACGAAACGAAAATCATCTCTGAGAGGAATCCTTCGCCCTTTTTATTTCCATCGTGAAACTGTACTTCAAAATTTTCAAGTTTTCGATGTACCACTTTTTCTAACAAGTCTACTACTGATTTTTCTAAATTTGGATGATCCATTGCTACAACTTCTATATCTACTAATTTACTGATTGACTAAAATTAGTTTATAATTGCACACTTGAGATAAAACTTATCAGCTCATTATTTTCAAGTTGTTATCTCTATAATGTATTGAACTAGTTGAACATTCTTGATTTCAATTATGATATTGTCATTGTTAGCATAGATGATAGATTTATTTTTATTATTATTGAAGATTGGAACGTAGGATTAAAATCTTATTTTGCTCTTTATTATTTACATGAAGTAGTAAATAATAATATGATAATAAAAATCGAATAAAAATTTGTTCTACACCCACATGGATATTAGCTTATGTACGCACAAATTACAAAACGAAAAAGTATGATATTGCATTCAAGTGAACGAATATATTGTATATCAATTCTAGGTAGTGAGAACACTGGAAAAAAATGAAATCCACCAATCACCGTTCATATTTTGATCAACCGACTGCTATTATTTTTGAAATTTTAAATAAATGACAATTCTGTCAAACTAATTGTCAGTATATTTTTTAGTTGTTGAGATTAAACATATATTAAAATAGGTCAATATTGTGTAGAATCGATAAATAATAGCATTTCTGTTTTTATTTCGTCTATAATTATAAACAATTTGTTAAATAAAACTATATAAAGTCAATTTAATTACGAGCATTAAAGCAACAAAAATAAACAAATAGATGGTCCTGTGGTCAGCATTCGTGCCTTCCACACGGAAGACTCTAGTTCGATTCTCCGATGGGAAAAAATGAAACTAACTTTTTTTTTTCGTTCATTTTATTTTAAAAATGATTAAAAGTCATAAATTATTCTAAAATTAGTTATTTTGTCTTAATAACCTAAAATAGTTTTTTTATTTGTAAATTTTCGTTAGTGGGTCGTAGAAAAAATATTCTGTACAATTTGAGTAAATTGTCCACATCGCACTCAGACGATTGAGTACTTCGTATTAAAGACAATATTTATTTTTTTAAATATTATTCAATAACATATCCTGTGAGGCTTATTTTACTCATTACAATATGATTCAGTAAAAACGATCAATTGATAATTTAATTCTAAGCTAATTGGCTACGGATTTGAAACTTTTAAAACTGAGGTCTTACTAAATAGTGTTCCTTTGAGTCTAATACAGTAGTTTGTGCAACAAGAGTGAATATGATGGCCATATCGCACGAATACGCAATTTGAGCACGACGCCGTAGGCGGAGTGCTCAATCGTCTAAATGCGGTATTGACAATCCACTCGAGTTGTACAGTACATTTTATCTACGATCCACTAACTAACTAACTAACTAACAAACAAAATTTTGAAAATTTATTCAGGTAATTTTGTTTATTATTGTTTGAATATTCGGTAAAAAATTTAAAATTATAGCATTTTAAATTTTAAGGTATATTATTTAATTCAAGAAAATTAGAATTTTCGTCAATTTTGGATTTTAAAAAATTCATAACAATTAAAGGGTTGAAGATACGATGATGGGTGTAGGGACTTTTTTTATTTGAAATATCCTAAAGAATATAAAAAAAAATAATTCATTGCAAAAAATGCATTTTTTCTGGCTTAAGTAATTTTTCGTTGTTTAAACAATAACATCAACAAATATCGAGTGTCATCTTACACTTTTATAATCAGGAAAGCCTTCCGGACATTTAAAAAAAAAAAATTACGAATTAAAACAATTTTGCAAACGAATGCGCCAGTATGCTCTGGTCTATTAGGTGAGAGGAGAATTTAACAGGTAGGGTAAATAGGTAAGTAGCAAATAGAAGTACCGAATTTCTTAAAGGTGGGAAATTTGAATAATAGTAGCTACTCATCATTAATAAAATAATGACATATTTCACGATTTTTACATTTTAAGGTGGGAAACGGGGGGAAGATGGAAGTTTGTAGGTACTATAGATTGAAAATTTAAATAAATAATGACATGTTTCAGGTTTCGGATAATTTTGAGAGAAAAATAAAGAAAATAAAGAAAAATAAAGAAAAATAAAGAAAAATAAAGAAAAATAAAGAAAAATAAAGAAAAATAAAGAAAAATAAAGAAAAATAAAGAAAAATAAAGAAAAATAAAGAAAAATAAAGAAAAATAAAGAAAAATAAAGAAAAATAAAGAAAAATAAAGAAAAATAAAGAAAAATAAAGAAAAATAAAGAAAAATAAAGAAAAATAAAGAAAAATAAAGAAAAATAAAGAAAAATAAAGAAAAATAAAGAAAAATAAAGAAAAATAAAGAAAAATAAAGAAAAATAAAGAAAAATAAAGAAAAATAAAGAAAAATAAAGAAAAATAAAGAAAAATAAAGAAAAATAAAGAAAAATAAAGAAAAATAAAGAAAAATAAAGAAAAATAAAGAAAAATAAAGAAAAATAAAGAAAAATAAAGAAAAATAAAGAAAAATAAAGAAAAATAAAGAAAAATAAAGAAAAATAAAGAAAAATAAAGAAAAATAAAGAAAAATAAAGAAAAATAAAGAAAAATAAAGAAAAATAAAGAAAAATAAAGAAAAATAAAGAAAAATAAAGAAAAATAGAGAAAAATAAAGAAAAATAAAGAAAAATAAAGAAAAATAAAGAAAAATAAAGAAAAATAAACAAAAATAAACAAAAATAAAGAAAAATAAAGAAAAATAAAGAAAAATAAAGAAAAATAAAGAAAAATAAAGAAAAATAAAGAAAAATAAAGAAAAATAAAGAAAAATAAAGAAAAATAAAGAAAAATAAAGAAAAATAAAGAAAAATAAAGAAAAATAAAGAAAAATAAAGAAAAATAAAGAAAAATAAAGAAAAATAAAGAAAAATAAAGAAAAATAAAGAAAAATAAAGAAAAATAAAGAAAAATAAAGAAAAATAAAGAAAAATAAAGAAAAATAAAGAAAAATAAAGAAAAATAAAGAAAAATAAAGAAAAATAAAGAAAAATAAAGAAAAATAGGGAAAAATAAAGAAAAATAAAGAAAAATAAAGAAAAATAAAGAAAAATAAAGAAAAATAAAGAAAAATAAAAAAAAATAAAGAAAAATAAAGAAAAATAAAGAAAAATAAAGAAAAATAAAGAAAAATAAATAAAAATAAATAAAAATAAATAAAAATAAATAAAAATAAATAAAAATAAATAAAAATAAATAAAAATAAATAAAAATAAATAAAAATAAATAAAAATAAATAAAAATAAATAAAAATAAATAAAAATAAATAAAAATAAATAAAAATAAATAAAAATAAATAAAAATAAATAAAAATAAATAAAAATAAATAAAAATAAATAAAAATAAATAAAAATAAATAAAAATAAATAAAAATAAATAAAAATAAATAAAAATAAATAAAAATAAATAAAAATAAATAAAAATAAATAAAAATAAATAAAAATAAATAAAAATAAATAAAAATAAATAAAAATAAATAAAAATAAATAAAAATAAATAAAAATAAATAAAAATAAATAAAAATAAATAAAAATAAATAAAAATAAATAAAAATAAATAAAAATAAATAAAAATAAATAAAAATAAATAAAAATAAATAAAAATAAATAAAAATAAATAAAAATAAATAAAAATAAATAAAAATAAATAAAAATAAATAAAAATAAATAAAAATAAATAAAAATAAATAAAAATAAATAAAAATAAATAAAAATAAATAAAAATAAATAAAAATAAATAAAAATAAATAAAAATAAATAAAAATAAATAAAAATAAATAAAAATAAATAAAAATAAATAAAAATAAATAAAAATAAATAAAAATAAATAAAAATAAATAAAAATAAATAAAAATAAATAAAAATAAATAAAAATAAATAAAAATAAATAAAAATAAATAAAAATAAATAAAAATAAATAAAAATAAATAAAAATAAATAAAAATAAATAAAAATAAATAAAAATAAATAAAAATAAATAAAAATAAATAAAAATAAATAAAAATAAATAAAAATAAATAAAAATAAATAAAAATAAATAAAAATAAATAAAAATAAATAAAAATAAATAAAAATAAATAAATAAAAATAAATAAATAAAAATAAATAAATAAAAATAAATAAAAATAAATAAAAATAAATGAAAATAAATAAAATGTTTTATTAAATCAAATAAACGGTTAAAAAACTAAAGTTTAACAATAGAAGAAAATATGAAATAACTGAGACGACACAAAAATTATTTTTCCACACCCATATGGATATTAGCTTATCTACGCACAGTTTACAAAACGAAAAAGTATGCTATTTCCTTCAACTAAACGAATATATTTCATATCTATTCTAGGTAGTGAGAACACTGCAAAAAATGGACTCAGTTTAAATTTTGATCAACCGACTGCTATTATTTTTAAAATTTTAAATAAGTCAAACTAATTGTCAGTATATATTTTATTTATTGAGATTAAACATACAACAAAATGAGTTATTCTTGTGTAGAATCGATAAATAATAGAATTTATATTTTTATTTCGTCTATAATTATAAATCATTTGTTAATTTAAATAAAACTATATGAAGTCAATTTAGTTACGAGTATTGAAATAAAAAAAAAAAAACGCGTAGATGGTCCTGTTGTCAAGGTTCTTGCCTTCCATACGAAAGACTCGATGGAGAAAATTAAAATCAAATTTTTTCTTTTTTCTGTTCATTTTATTTTACAAATTATTAAAAGTCGTAAATTATTTTCAAATTAATTATTTTATCTTAATAACCTAAAATAATTTTTAATATTTGTAGATTTTAGTTAGTTAGTTAACAACAACAAAATTTATTTAGGTTATTTTGTTTATTATAGTTTGAATATATATAAAATTATAGCATTTTAAATTTTAAGGTATTTAATTCAAGAAAATTAGAATTTTCGTCAATTTTGGATTTAAAAAAATTCATAACAATTAAAGGGTTGAAGATACGATGATGGGCGTAGGGACTTTTTTTATTCGAAATATGCTAAAGAATATAAAAAAATTAATTCATTGCAAAAATGCATTTTTCTGGCTTAATTAATTTTTCGTTATTTAAACAGTAACATCAACAAATATCGAGTGTCATCTTACACTTTTATAATCAGGAAAGCCTTCCGGACATTTAAAAAAAAATTACGAATTAAAACAATTTTGCAAAAGAATGCGCCAGTATGCCCTGTACTATAAC